GGAAAAAAAAAAAAAAAAAAAAAAAGGGAGCTGACCAAGGATCATAGCAGCCGTGCGGGCAGTTTCTTCAAAAAACAAAACAATGCGGAACCACAGGTTGCATTCAGAATCTGGAACCAGGAACCTGAAAGGAAGGAATGGGCGGTTGCAGATATGTACGAGATCAAGCGCCCGGGGAGTACCGCTAGCCAATTGGACCAGGCAACTAAAACTCTAATCACTATCCAACTGCAACACCTGCGCAACGTAAGGGTCGTAGAATCTGACGATTTCACAATCTACAGCCCAACCATGCCTTTGGTGGATTTGGAGGTGGACCCCGCAGAATGGGCATGGAATCTTAGAGGAGGAAGAACTGGGGTGGCCAGAAGAATCAGCATTCTAAACTATGCAACGAGAATTGGCTACAGACTGAGAAGAAGGTCGCACCCATTAGCGCCTGCCCTGTCCAAGCGATGGGAAAACAAAGTGGGAGTTACACCGGAGCAGCTACCTGAAATACCATGGATACAGATCAACACAATACGCATCGGAAGGGTCGGAGGCTTACAGTGGCTAATCGCCCACGTAGCACTGCCGGTAAACGACGGGTCAAACGATCGCAGGAGCCGAGCACAGATGGATCCAGCTAACGCGCAGTGTATAGTCTGTCAAGAGAGAGACCCAGAAACAATGCTACACTGTCTTCTAACATGCCCCGAGGCAGCGGCCGTATGGGAGAAAGCCAAGTCCCTTTGGGGACAAATCACGGCGTCACCATTCCCTGAGAGCAAAGCAACCATACTTCTAGGCCATGACCTACCGAGAAACTGGCAACCATATGAGAAGACCATATTCCAGCTAATAAGGCAGTATACCCTATGGACAATATGGAAGAGACATTGTCAGATTACTGTTGAGAAGAGGCCAATGCACCAGCAAGAAGCATGCGGGGTCCTCTACAATTGACTAGAAACAGATCTCTGGGCACAATGGAAACGAATACAGAGACAGATCCGCCAATGCCCGGATCAGGAGCAGCAGTTGAAGGCCCGATTCACACAAAGGGTGCTGGGCCAGGGAAACATGGCAGCTATACGTGACACCAGGCTACAGTTTACGTGGAGAGGAAGGGACCACCAAATTGCTTCTCTTCAGTAATTCAAGTAGGTTAAGTTCAGATAGGGGAAGGTAAATTCTATTTAATGTATTGTAGGATGTAGAAGTATATTTAACGGCTTTTAGGATGTAGAAGTACGAGGATAAGCTTCAAAATATTCCGAAAATGGAAAGAAGATAGGGTAGGAAGTATTTAGCAAGAAGAAAAAAAGGGTTTAGAGCTTTTTTGAGAAATAAATGACAGCACGTTCTAAGGTGTAGCATGTCGGGGCATTCCGCAGGGGCTTCAGTTCTTCCATTTCATTCCAGCCCTTTTATTTCTTAAGTGCAACCTGGGGGTACGATTGTCAGTTCTTTCGGCTCCTAAATGCAACCTAGGGGCAGGTTGGCAGCTTCTTTCGTTTATTGCTATTTGCCTTTTGTTAATCCAGTTTTGTCTTTGTTCGGGAATAGCATGTAGCTTGACAGGAGAAAGGGACACTGGACCCGGTTTCCAGTATGAGCCTAATCTGGGAAATGGCCCCAGTCTTCCGGGTTGAGATGTGGAGGGATTCCCGGCCTCCTTGTGCTCTATATATAATGAAGCATGCTATTCGTTAAAAAAAAAAAAAAAAAAAAAAACAAAAAAAAAAAAAAAAAAAAAAAAAAAAAAAAGCGGACCCGGTTCTGTTGACTAACCCTTGCATGTGTGTGCCATTCGGACACATGTGCTGGTGCTGGGTATTCTTGCAATTTTGTAAGGGACTGTGACCCTGTTCTCAGAAGGGGCCCGGTCCCACTAGCACAAGACAAAAGGTCGCTCAGAAACACGCATGTGACCCACATGTGATGTAGTGGCACTGTACACTTAGGGACTGATGGAGAGGCCCCTGGGCAGTCAATTTGAGGTTTGCCCGTTAGCATTCCAAGGGACATGGAAAGACAGCGGTCCCTACCAGTGTATCATCTACGTCCATCCACCTCACAGAGTATTTATCTAGTGCGTCTAAAGCTTTCATAATATGCATGTCCAATGCAAGAATTGAGCACACAACCAATGGAAAGAGAGCTTGTCAGGCAAGCACCTAACCAATAGGCTAAGTGGGTTGGCTAAGTGGGTTGGGGTGAACGTGAAGCCCCTGGATGAAGATTGCATGGACGGTTGGAGGGAATAGAGGAGGAATCAACAGGTATTATCAGGTCGGGAAACTTCCTATTTTACAATTTGAGGTTTGGCGCGCGCGTGTGTGATGTGTATGTGTGTGTGTGTGTGTGTGTGTGTGTGTGTGTGTGTGTGTGTGTGT